TCCAGGCGTACCCAACCAGGTTCGAGTGGACTCTTTGCCCCGCAGGATAGCAACTTCAAATCTAGTCTCCTGGTGTAGCAAGAAGCTCTGTTTTCCCAGAGAGGGTGGTAACAAATCTCCTTACTAGAAGTCATTGCAATTCTGTACAGGCAGTTGCTTTGTTGGGTTGGGAGGGGCTTGTGTATTTGTTACTCTTGCAGATTAAGTTGTATGGCCGTCCTTCAAAAATCTACACCCAAGTCCACGTCTACAGTTCATAAGGAAGGAATCCCTCGCGTTCCGGCTTGCGGTATTTAAATGTTCTGGAAAATTTGCTTCAATCTTTCATGAATTGTATTTCTAGTCATACAGTTGTGTCGTTAATGTAGGGGCACTGTAATGCTAGTAATTGTGTTGTAGTGTGTTGCATCATTGGAGGGGTATTGTGGGGAGAGGGTTTTTCCTTTGCATTTTTCAGTGTGCTGTGTCCTGTGCGTTTTCCAATACCCGAGACCATCAGGAACTCTCCTAACTCATTGTTTGTACAAGTGTCCTTGCGCATCGAGCTTCACGTAAGGTCCCTAAATGTGTTCACATTTCTCTTTTAACATTCATTGTCTGGCTAAATTCCTCCATTGCAATTCCTTTGCAATTAGTTACTATGCCTTGTATTGACAATACAATGAGTGAACTATCTGTAAAGGATTTCTTATTGCATAATAAATGCATAGCTTGTTGTGATTGAATACAGTTTTGGTATGCATTTGTTCTTTTTTGGGGGGGCTTGTGTGGGGGAGCTTTTCTTGTGCTTTTTCAGGTATGACTTAAGCCTGGAGCTTTGTAGAGCACGGATGTGACCTGGGTTCGAATGACATCCTTTTCAAAGTGGAAATTGAAGGCAGATAAGTTGAATCCATCAAAAAATGATGTTGGATAATTCTCAACCCTAGAGGAGTCACATATCTTGAATGGGCTTCACTGCCCTCATTGTTCTTGAAATTAAAGCAACTTGCTATACTTCTCTGTAGAAATGGCACTGTTGTGCTTTCTTAACAAGAGTCTTGTAATAATGGAAGGATTTGATGTACCCTCTTTGATTCTGACGTTATCTGCAGTAAAGCATTTGGGTAAGGATAACAATAGTCAGTTCTACGATACTGTGAGTGGGGGTGTAGGGGTGTCTCTTGTCTGCCTCTTTGATCTTACAGAACAGTCCAAAGGAAGAATGCAGTCTACGTAGGACAACACGGCAATCATCCTGTCCTTTGAAATCAACCAACACGCAGTTTGAGCAAATGGAGTCAGGTTCAAATGTGATGTTTCTGAATTATTAGCCCTCAGCTGCTTGCCCTTGCGCAACTGTGCAAGTGGTAGCTTGGTCATATAAAATTACTCCCAATCGCGCAACTGTGCGATTTTCAAAGAAAGAAAAAAAAAAAAGCAGTTGAGGAAAGCTGTGCATTGTGCAGCTTTATTTTGGTCTGTAATGCAGCGCAAATGTGTTGCTTTAGTTTATATTGTGCATTGGTTCGGTGTATTCCTACAATTCTCTTTGCAGAAATCTGAGATCAGGGCGCAAGACTGGTTCAGCAGCGAGTGAAGTCCTCTAACCTGCAGCATGTAGTAAGATGTTGGCTACCTTTTCAAAATAAACTTTTGCAATGTTGTAGTTATCAAAATGACATCTTGGAACTGGCTTTGTTAACCTCGAATCATGAGTAACAACAATGCTTTACTAGCATATTCCTCTTTGGCCCCGGGGCCCTATTGCTTTGCATCTTAAAACACAAGATGAGTAGAACTCGAATCTTTGAGTATTGTGTGGTGGGTGTTTTGTGTAGATCACTCTTTGTTTCAGATCATTTTCGTCTGTCTGCTCCGATCTCGCCCGCCTCTGAATGCAAAGCCATCTGTGGAAGCTGTCAGCGAATATGAGTGTGGCCCCTGAATGAAGTACCAACCCCTTGTGCGCTTGAGCTTAGATCCGAACCCCCTCCGACGTCCTTCGCAGAAGCCCCGCTCTCTGTGTTTGTGTGTGTGCCTCTTTTCTTTCCCCTATGGTTTCTCAGGTCAAATTGCCTAAAAAATGTCTTAATTTACCCTCTGGGATGGAACGCTGAGAATCCAGTCACTTTAAGATCAAGAGCTGCAAGCTTGTCTCCCTAATACTGCATCACTTCAGTCTCATGGGTGCTAAGTTAAGTAATTTCGGTTCCCTTGATTTATTTTTTCTTTAACATACCATGGCTTTAATGTGTAACTCAACATGTTGCATGCACCCCAGCTCTGCATAACATTTTATTCATAACACACAACATACTTTTCATGAAGATTTGTAAAACGTTGGCGTATTTTGGTCAAGGGGTTTCTGGGGGGGGCAACATTCTCCTCTCTTCCTTTCAGATTTCTCGTTCAACTTATCTTGCTACTGAGCCAGGCGACTAAAACCTCTGCGGGGAGTCACGGGCTGACTTGGTACAATCTTTATTACTTGGAAGAATTGAGCATTACTGAGAAAGAATAGCTGTTGTAATGATCGTATTGACATTTGTCATATTGGTTTTTAAGTGTGGGAATTTTATGGGGCGGGGGGTGGGGCGGCTTAATTGTCCTTTTTTCCATTACAGCTGTAAACTTGCCTGTCCGTGTGACCAGCGAGTCCAGCTGAATTGCAAAGGGAGAAACCGCTTTGAGTATCACCAGGGACGCTGGTATTGTGGCCTCGTAAATATGGATAAAAGAGTTCGCTGGAATCAGTCATGCAACAATGAAGTGTCGTGGGGAATGCTGGGGATTGGGGAAACCAGTTGTCTTTCTTCTAGTTTCAGGCTCGTGACCATGCGAAATCCCCATGTGGTGACAACAAATTATAGCAGCCAGGTGTTGAGGGGTTTTCTTTTCCTGGAGGAACAAACTTGTTTTTGTTCCTCCAGGTTTTGCTTTTACCTAGAACAGCTACAACAAAAAAAGCAAAAGACTCCGGTGGTGGCACTCCTGACTTTGTTGGGACAGGGTTCAATCCCCTGCGGTGTCTTTGCCTTTCTAAAGTTGCTGTGGGGTAATAATACGAAACCATATTTTCATGTTGCAAATTGAAGTTAAATAAGACTCATCAATTTATTTTTTTAACTATATATATTTGTAAAGACTGGGGGACAAAAGTTAAAAGTGGCTAGGGATGATGAGCATGTTTACCATTTCACATGAAATGTATTACAGAAAAGTAAATTAACTAAAAGTTTATTGGGAAGCTGGAATTCCCAGGTACCAAAGTCATATTAAAATGTTCCTGTGTCTTAATGTAAGTGTATTGTATCCCCTGCCCAAAATATGTTAAAATCTATAAGACAAATAAAACCTTCCTGTTTTGCTTACAATTTGATGTGGTGGTTTTCTGCTTTTTGTGTTTGAAATGTGAGATTGTGCTGTATGTGACACTATAGAGGTATATAGGTTTAACATTAAGAAGATACAGATTACTTATTAAATTGGGACAGAAAACGAAGCATAATCTCCAAATGTTAGTACTTATATCGGCACATGATAGTTCAGTTCCCTCGTGTGCTTTTATTAAAAAGTAATGTCTTGGATTTGATGTAGTGCCTGCTTGTGTTAATTGAGCCAATTGTACATTACTGAATCAATTGGCTACATTTTCAGTTATCTACCCATATTAGTTCCCCGGATGTGTAAACACAAACCGGATGTTTACTTGGTGGTTTAAAAAAATAATGATTGCAGAAACCTTAATACCTCTTGCAAACTCTCACTGAAAAGTTAATATAAGCCTTGATAACGGGAGTCAAATGGATATGACTTTTAATTGAGGGGTTTGGATGAAGTATTCTGTGTTACAGGAGTTTTGTCTTTACTGTTCCTGTCACTAAACAATATATACAGATGGCAAACTTAATAAAAATGGGGGACAATTTAACTGAGGTTGAAAGCTTATCAAAACATGTTTTTTCCCATGGTAAGACAACTATTTTTGTAAAGCTAGAGAGTAAAGTAAAACTACCTGTACATTAAATGAAAATGAAACTACAGACTGAAAAGAAGCTTATTTAGTAACCAGTGTCTGGATAAGATAAGATAGTACTTTATTGATCCTAATTTGGGAAATGTTTGCGTTGTAGCATAAAAAAGACATGGCATTGTACAATACAAATTCAAAGACTAGAAATAAACAAGAAAGTAGCAAATATACATGTTGAATTAAGGTAGTATGTATATATACATAAATATATGACCGATGGGATATTTAAATATAGAACAGATTATATAAATGTAAAACGTACAATGTGGTTTTGTTCCAAGAGAAACTATGTAGCAGAGAGTTCTCTTCCAGCCAGAGGTGATTTAAATTATTGCAGTGGGCAGGAATGTTTTCCTGTATCGGTCCTTGTGACAGCGGAGCTGCAGCAGTCTGTTGGAGAAGGAGCTCCGTTGACTGTCCAGCATATTAACAACCTTCACAAAGATTTATGAATAGTCTTTATATAACCTTGCAGTTTCATCTCCACAACTTAGCTCTGGTTGGTGATTTACTGTGTTCACTTCACCTAGGTCACTTTGGGGACATAAATGACCTTTTAAGATTTGTGATCTGTGATTTTGAGCCCAAACAGGCTAACAGCATGCTTGTGCCCTGTTTTTGTCGTACATTGGAAAACAAATCTGCTACTTTAAACTGAAGGCATCCACACTAGACACATGTTAATGACATTATCATTGTCATTATTTAACATTGACTTCAACTTCCATAGAGTAGAGATGTTGGCAAGAAATATGTTCTTACAAGGAGAAGTAATATGTATCAAAATAAACATTTGTATTAAGTCATGTTGTTGCCAAATGAGGCTTGGACATCATTCAGATTGTGACTTGAGTTAGACATTGAGAAGAATCTATCCAGGGCGGCTATTATCAGCTAAAATTAGATATGACTTACCATGCAACTAGTGATGAGATAGAATAGAGGAGCGGAACCACCCTACAGGCAGAACTTTTACCCGGAGCCATTTTACACTCGTACCAATTCGCTAGCTAGCCTTTTCTAGCTAGCGGTCTGTTTAGTTGTGTGTGTGTGTTTGATGTGGTGTGGAGGAAAGAGGAGATGTGGTCATTTTTTGCCAGGGATCCTGTCAAAGACTTTGCCTATGAAATCCTGCCAGACTTTCAGGAGAAGTCTGGAATATGGAGTATACACCGGGGGAAGAGAAAGGTAAAAGCGGCAAACCGACACCGATCCTCGGCTAGCTGTTAGCATCGCTATGGAGGCCTGTCACTGTCTCTTCGCTAATGTATTTAGCCTTTAGACGTGATGTCCAGTAGTTAATAGGCGTTGTTTCGGCTCAGGTCTGTCCGTATCTCTATCATATTCCTCCCTGATCGAATGTCATTGTTTATTTCATTTTCTCCATTCCTTAGGTATCGTTTGTTTATTGCTAACGAAGTGAGCTTCGGCTTTGTTTACTCCAAAAGACAGACACGTATTTCTCGCCACGTCACCCCGTTAAAGCCGAGTTAATTACTTTTTCTGAAATCGTTTTTAAGCTCATGTTACATAGCATTAATAAAGTCTCCGTCCCTCATCGGACATCACTTACAGCAGCTCATTTAAATATCTATCCATGTTATTATAACTGAGCAACTCAATTCTGACTGTCGGTGTCATCACCGTCACTGCAGGGCCAGATAAAGAAAGCCAAGCACCTGCTGTCTAAATATTACAAATCACAAATGTGCTAATAAACATTTAAGGAGTTATTCATACAGCAAAAGGAAAATTACTCCAGGAGGACATATTTTGAGAGTTCCCATTTTACGAGTATGCATTGCGAAACAACATTTTCCTATATGTTATCCCTAACAAATGTATAGAAATACATTACACAGGTATGCATTGCGTAACATTTATCGCACCCATACATTAATCTCAAGATTTATAGTGTTTATGAATGTCAGTACACATTAGGATTCTGTATAAAATAGACCCGGCTTGTTTTGTTATTCAAATAACATGGAAGCCAAGGATGTAATAATTTATTATGGAAACAAAAAAAACGTTTACACGTATTTTATTTACATGGAAAAAAGTTCATCATCTGAACAATTTGACTTTTTTTCAGTATTTTTTTTTGTTTTTTAAGAGTACATCTTTTATTAGTTCGGAATATGTCCTTTTCTCTCACTATATGATAACTGTATCATGCTTGATGTTGTTAATCAGTTCGGATGTCATTACATGTTTTTACTTCTTCAAAAAACACCAGCTTCTTGTTTTCATCATGCTTGTTGTAATTTATTTGAACATGACAGGTTGAAATATTTATAGTGTATTTAGTTTTTATTTAGTTTAGTTTTAACCCAACCTCTGTCCTCAGACCAATGGAGAGCCGGTGTCGGTGTTTCTGTACGAGGTAGCGCAGGGGACGGAGCAGCAGACCCAGCTCGCCAAGGCTGCCTTCAAGCGTATGAAGACCCTGCGTCACCCAAACATCCTGGCTTATGTGGATGGATTGGAGGTATGTGTTTGTGTGTATTTTGCCCTCATCATCTTAAACCCGAAACAAACACTGACATTGTTTATAAAAAGGTATTTCCAGTATTTGTTTTGTGGTGCCTAACCTAAATTAATAAAGGTTCAAAGCTGAATACACAAAGGTAATTAGGAGGCGCACACACAGAGATCTAAAGGAAAATGTTGAGTAATCTCAAATCAACACATGGTGAATACCATCAGGCCAAAACGTCAGCATGTTTGTCTGATTTTGTCCTGAAGATCTTGGTGTGTGCTACTTTGTTTACTTTTGGGTATTCAACATCGAAACTGTCACCCAGCTTGTTAAGCTTGACAGCTTGACATGCTGAACAATTCTGTGTGTGTTAGTATCTCATCTCCACCATCTTGCTTTTCTCTGCATGTTTACGTTCAGATAGAGGTGAGTGTGAATGTCACTGTTTACGAAAGTTGTTTTATTCTACCTTTTTATATAAGCTGATTCTTAGCCGGTTCTGTGTTCTCAGTAATATCATAGAATACTTATGCTGTACTTTTATTATGATAGCATGGTTGCCATTGGTGCACCTGTTAAAGGTCTTGCTATAAGAATGAATTGAAAATTAAATATATAAAGAGACATTTCATACACTTTAGGATTCTTACTCCTTTTTGTAATGCCTGAAAATCAGCAACAACTGGGAAGTTGCAAAAGTCCTTAGCTTAGTTTCATTTCATACTGTAACTTCCTTTTTAAATGCTACTGTTTAAACAGAGCTGTGGTGGGTTTAATCACTCTTGTCAAGTTATTCTGGATAGTCATTCAGTGTTAACATTCGCTGACTAAAAATGTAAATCAATGGTGATTTAAAAAATAATGTTGATTATTTAACATTTATTGTATAACATTTATGTATAGTAAACACCACAATACTTCCTTAAAGCTTACCATTATGATGCCTATAATGTGGAGTTTTAATTTTTTTGGTAAGGTGTTTATTGAATAATTTGTTTAGCATCGAGGGAATAGCTTGCGCTGGATGTGCCACAAGATGGCATTACATTGAGAGATAAATATTTTGGACCATAGTAGAACAAAAAAAATAAGAAACAATTAAGAACATTATAAACTTCGTCAAAGTAAAATCAAAAGCGGAGCTGTTGAATTAAATTGTACGGGTGTATCCTAATGAAGTCGCCACTGACTGTATTTTAGTATAAACGTTTTTAATTATTGTGATCTAGTTTGTATACTTTCAATCAGCCATTCAGTTAAGTATTTCTGAAATGAAGCTGTTGCAATAAAACCAACACCTACAATAGTAGTTGATTTGTACTTTGCTTTTCTTCACAGACAGAGAAGAGCCTGTACCTGGTCACTGAGCAGGTGACCCCGCTGGCCGTCCACCTGAAGGCCCAGGCAGAGAAGGGGGGATCAGGGGAGCTGGAGGTCTCCTGGGGCCTGCACCAGATAGTGGTAAGGATAGTAGAAACAGCGCCACCGATACTGTCAGGAGAGTTGTTTCTCTGTAAGCCCTGACTCCACTTCTGCTGTTTGCCTCCCCCAACAGAAAGCTCTGAGTTTCCTGGTCAATGACTGCCATCTGCTTCATAACAACGTGGGTGTATCGGCTGTCTTTGTGGATCGAGCTGGGGAGTGGAAGCTTGGGGCCCTCGACCATGTGGCCCCTGAGCAGGGTGACCCAAGTGGGGTCTCCCTACCAACCCCCAAGGCTGTTTACCCAGACATGGAGAGATATGACCCACCAGAGATGGCCAATAACACTGGAGAGAAATGGTAAGAGAGGAGTGAGTCAGTATGATTAGAATACAATGTTCTACAGGAATAAAAGAGAAGCAGCGATACGAATATCTGGTAAAAAATGACAGAAAGAGGTTCATAAGAGGGGAAGATGCCCGAGTGAGTGGTTGTGACATCAAACCTGGTCCTGGTTAATGCCTAGTTTTCTGTAGGAAGTCTGGTATTGAACATTGTGCATGTGTGTTGCAGGGCGGGGGAGGTGTGGCGCCTGGGCTGCCTGATCTGGGAGGTGTTCAACGGGCCGCTGCCTCGCACATCCTCGCTCCGGTCACTCGGAAAGGTACACCAACAGTTCCTTTGTGTTATTACTCTGCCATGCCTAGTTCCAATTCTAAGTTTTCAGAAACCGATGTTGTTAAAGGTATCGGATGTGTAATGTGGTGATGTCAAAAACCTTCAGGTATTCAACATATGAGGCCAAAAATGAGGATTCTGTGTTTATTGAGTATATTGTTGTTAAGGGAACTAAGCAGAGTCGATGTGTTTTTGCCGAGTTGCCTTCAAGTACAGAATGTAACCTACAGATTCGTCATTGTTCCAGTGCTTGCTTAAAGGAATCTTTGTGACATAAAGACGTGTTCACAGTCTCGTGTGTCTCTCTCATATGTCCTCTTTGTTCCCACAGATCCCTAAGGCCCTGGTGCCTCACTACTGTGAGCTGGTGGGGGCCAACCCCCGAGCTCGGCCGAACCCAGCCCGCTTTCTCCAGAACTGTAGAGCCTCTGGGGGATTCCTCAGCAACAGCTTTGTGGAGAGCAACCTTTTCCTGGAAGAGATACAGGTCCGTAGAGTTGCATAAAGACATTCAAACCTCACCAGTAAAATCACAATATCGATTGTCCAAATGGAGACGGATCACATTCTAATGAAACTATCCTCTTGGCAATCATGCGGGAATAGAATTTGAAACTCTATTATAGTATAACAACCAATAATAGTGGAATTGAAACTCTTTCTCTTTAGATCAAGGAGCAGGCTGAGAAGCAGCAGTTCTTCCAGGATCTGAGTGAAAATCTGGACTCCTTCCCCGAAGACTTCTGTAAACACAAGGTCCTGCCTCAGCTGCTCACCGCCTTCGAGTTTGGCAATGCAGGCGCCGTAGTCCTCACACCGCTCTTCAAGGTCAACCTTTCAACTTTCGCACCTTATTACATATCAGGCCATATATCCAATATCCATTTGGAAGTTATACCACATATTTCCTCTTCCTCTGTCTCTCTGCCAGGTGGGGAAGTTCCTGTCAGCAGAAGAGTACCAACAGAAGATCATCCCTGTCATCGTGAAGATGTTCTCCTCCACAGACAGAGCCATGAGGATACGACTGCTGCAGCAGGTATGAAAGGCCTTTTTCATCTAGCCCCCCCTGAGAATCAGAACATGCTGCTTGTGTTTTATTTGTCATTTAATTTCACCATGTATTATCACAGAGAAGGCAAAATATATATATATAGTTAAAAGTAGGATTATAATATAGGATCTAGCTGAAAATGATATCACTATCTGTGATTTTTACATCTATGTTGAAGAATAAAAGTATTCTTTTCTCTCTGTCTCAGATGGAGCAGTTCATTCAGTATCTGAACGAGGCAGCAGTCAACTCCCAGATCTTCCCTCACGTTGTCCACGGCTTCACAGACACCAACCCCGCCATCAGAGAACAGACTGTTAAGGTACTTTGACCGCTTTAAGCAAACCAAGAGCTGTCATTACATTGCTTGCATACAGGATGTTGTCATCCTCCTGCAGCCCTGACATTAACAACGTTCTCCCCCTTCCCCCTCACCCTCAGTCTATGTTGCTGCTGGCTCCCAAGCTGAATGAGGCCAACCTGAACCAGGAGCTGATGCGTCACTTTGCCCGGCTGCAGGCCCGAGATGAACAGGGCCCGATCCGGTGCAACACCACCGTCTGCCTGGGCAAGATCGCCTCCTACCTCAACGCCGGGGTAAAAAACCAGCCACAGTACTAATAGATAGAATAGATAGAAGATAGAATCGGAGGGATGAAACCCTCTTTGATGGTCACACATACATGCACACAGCACACACAGTGACATTTGACATCTGCATTTAACCCATCCTAGTAGTAGGAGCAGTGGGCAGCTATTGCACAGCCCACTGCCTATCATTAATTAATCTAAAGCGACAGTTCACCCCAAAATCCAAAATACTGCTTTTTCCTCTTACCTGTAGTGCTATTTATAAATCTATGTTGAAAGCCCTACAGGTAAAAGGAAACATTTGTTTTCTGACTTGGATAAACTTTCAATTTTTTAAATTGAAAAACACCTTAATCCATTCAGTAAAGAATCTGTTCCAGTTAAATAATATTGTTTTCCCTCTTCACAGACTCGGCAACGTGTTCTGATTTCCGCCTTCTCACGGGCCACTAAGGACCCGTTCCCCGCTTCACGCTCAGCCGGTGTGCTGGGCTTCGCAGCAACACACAACTTCTACAGCATAACAGAGAGTGCGTCCCGCATCCTCCCCACCCTCTGCACCATCACTGTGGACCCCGATAAGAGCGTCAGGGACCAGGTACACATGACCAAGATTTGTGACTGCGTGGTGTTTATTATGGCTTTTATGGCGCATTTTTTATTAAAGGTACCCTTTTTATACAGATGTTTTACCTCTGTGGTACCTCATTATTTAAATCTGTCTCAATGTAACCCAAGATGTTCCCTCCTTCCTCTCTCTCACTGTCAGGCATTTAAAGCCATCAAGAGTTTCCTTACCAAGCTGGAGACGGTGTCAGAAGACCCCACCAAGCTGGCTGAAATAGGTATGCAACTGAAGAAATCTCACATTTGGGTAAAAGAAAATCAAAATACGTTTCAAAGGCTCAAATACCGGGAGCAGAATAACAATTTATTTCAGCTATATTTTTCAAAATGAATAACGTGAAGCTCTCGTTCCTGTCTGTCCTGCAGAAAAGGATGTAGCGTCGTGTGCTCAGCCTGCAGGAGGCTCCTCCACCTGGACCGGTTGGGCCGTGACGGGCATGTCCTCCATCACTTCTAAACTCATCCGCAACGCTCCGGGGACGGAGGGGGGGGCAGCCGCTGAGGACGGAGAGCCCGCCAACGCCATCAGCCCGACCAGTGCCCCTGATGGAGCTCCTGCACCAGGTAGGGTTTTCATATTCCATTTGCTGACTACTATCCCATTGTTGGATTCTCCATAAACAATTATTTTTTAAAACAAGGAGAAAATGGCTAGATATTGTCTTTTATACTGTGCTTTCGTGTCAGTGACAGGGTTATCGGGTCCTTACGCGAGTTTGTATGTACACAAAGATGAACTGATAAGATATTATAAGTTTAAAGGGTAAAAGTCACTATGAACTTACAAAACACATCTTTGGACAAATCTATAATAATAATTCATTTATTAAGTATGACATTTCTTATTAAATAGGATAAAAAGATGAAGTCATGACATTGTGGACGAACATGGATTCAAACTGCAACTAAACTGCACACAACCCCAGGGCGGTGATTCTAGTTCCACACATTCTTCTTTTGTGTCAAATCTTGCCCACAATGCAACTCAACCGCCAACAGTTGAGATTCACTTGTGTTATGAAGCTCAGCGCAAGTTCAACCAGGAAGACCGTCTTTACTCATTCACGTATCTCTATTCCCATGTTACTACTCTCTCTCCTCTCAATAAGTGACCGGGGGCGTCACTCTTCAGTTTAACCAATCACTTCGCTCTATTCCCAAGAGCCCATCATAGCGTTCTGTCAAACCTTTTAAGTCTGCTCTTCCCCCTCTGACAGCTGTCATTTCAGGTGACTCTACGTAGTTGGTAGTCGCAACAACCTTCTAAGTAAAAACGCTTCTAAAAAGTAAAACTCAACATGTCCAGTTCGGACTTCTCCGAGAACGATCCCTTTCAGGAGGATCCCGATCCTGGCCCCGACATGCTGGCTGACACAGCTTCGACTTCCTCAAGCTACCGGCGCACGAGCATTCGCTTGCTTGCCCGCAGCGGCGCAGCTTCACGGACAGCAGAGGCAGAGCTCCTCACCTCTCAACTTCAGCAGCAGGGCATCGTACCAGCACCAGGTCTCCCTCTCTCCCAGCTTCGTGAGCTCTCGGACCAAGTCCCACTCGTCGCTCCCCAGTCCATGCCAGCAGCTCCAGCCGGCCTCTCTGACAGACCAGGGCGCGGGCGCGGGCGCGGGCGCGGGCGCGGGCGCGGGGGTAAAAGAACAAGAAAGTCGAGCCCTCCAGCAGCTCCTCCCTCAAAGAAGACAACTCCTTCCCAGCCTCGCCCCATCGCTGACCAGCCCGTAAGCACTTTCAACCAGCCATACATGGATAACAGCTTGGCCAACACCCTGCAATCCCTGGCCGATTCCATGCAGAGAATCGACACTCGCCTCCAGTCCCTGGAAAGGGTTTCAGCCGAAGCCTCCACTTCAGCAACCACCAGGGCCGTACTTTCTGCCATGGCGCAGCCAGTGCTCACGCCGGGTCAGGCCCTTTCAGTCCCACACACAGATGTCTCCCCTCATTCTCTGGCTTCTGCCATCCCACCCCCTCCTTCAGGTAGGCCTTACATCCCCCAAGCTGCTAATATTTCCCCCCGGCTCAGGGCAAAAATACTTCAAGGGCAGGATATTAACCTGGTCAGCCTTATCCTACCGTCCCCCGAGTGTGACAAATCCATCGCCACCGGGGGAAACATCACAGCAGTTTTCAAATCATCAGACCCCCGTCTCAACAGAGACCTTTCCATAGGCCAGTTCCTGGTTGCATTCGGCATATATCGTGAAGTAATATGCTCAGTCTACCCCGGAAGGAGGCAAGAACTAGACGCTTATCTGGGTCTGATCGGCGATCTTAATCTAAAATACGGGAAAAGTGTGTTCTACGCTTATCACAAGAGCTTTTCAAGCAAAGCCGCCCTCCACATAGCTCACTCAAACATCCGTCTGGACTGGTCCATGCTGGACACCGAGCTGCTCGTGATGACTACAGGCGGCCACCAAGTCATCTCGTGCAACAGCTGCGGGACCCCGGGCTATGGGCTCAGAACAGTCTCATAATACACACATGCACACAGAAGGATTCACACTTGTATTTCATGATCCGCAAAAGGATTCACACTTGTATTTCCGGATCCACACTTGTGTTTTTCAATGCACACACAAATGTGTTCCGTTTCATATACATGTAAATAAAATCCAAATACAGAAAAAAGTTTTAAATATGTATTTTTGATCCTCACATATTTGTTTTCCGTTTAAAACCGCTGCACCTACAAACACAAACCGCTTTCTGTGCATGGATCGCTGTGCATTCGTGTGTGGGTCTTTTGAGACTCCCCTGACGGTGACCCGATTCGTACTTGTAATTTTTTCTATCTATAGCCAATCAGATGTCTCCTCAATTCTAAGCCAATCACATGAGCGCGCCCCCACGAGGGTAGATTTCTTGCGTTTATGACGGAGCGCTTCATGTACGCATTTTGCGCTGTCCGGAGCTGACAGGTCCATGGAGCCTGCCTGCAGGCGCTAATCTCAGGACACCTCCACTCTCAGTACATTGCCACTTTCCGAGCAGGAAATGCACGCAAATACAAGCCTTTATATTATTAAGGTACAGTGCCACTTTCCGAACCATTAATGAATGCTTGTGTACATAAAAACGGCAGGCAAAACCGTTTTAAATGTGTGTTTCCTGTATGGCGAATACAGCTGCTTTATTTATGTCTGTATGAAGTTGTTGTGAGTGTGGAGGGAGCAGCTACAGGTTAGCTTAGCCTAATCGATCAGTGCACTACGAAGCCAGTGCTAGACAGTGAATTGTCAACGGGGGGGAGCCCCGCCGGTCATTATCGGCCGATATTCACTCTTAATAGTTTGATCGGTGCTCTCTATAAAGGCCGATCAGGAGAGCTGGATCTGATCGATATGGACATAAACGCGAGTGAAGTTTTAGCGAGCTGCATGAGAAACTGACGGGCTGTCAGGAGAGAGGGAGGGAGAGAGGAAAATAGAGGATCCGTTACTCCCGTGTTATTAGCCATATCCGGTCATAGTCCGGTAATTACCTGCTAACGGAAACTCTGCTACACAATTCTTCTTTTTCTTATTATTATTATTGAAACATGACCGGTAAGTTTCAAATTTGTCCGGTAAAATAAATTCTCTCTGCGGAAACCCTGCTCCGGACAGCGCAAAATGCGTATATGAAGTGTCATGAACGCAATCAATCATACCCTCATGGGGACGCGCTCATGTGATTGGCTTAGAATGAAGGAGACATCTGATTGACTATAGATAGAAAAAATTACAAGTACGAATCGGGTGACCGTCAGGGGAGTCTCAAAAGACCCACACACGAATGCACAGCGATCCATGCACAGAAAGCGGTTTGTGTTTGCAGGTTCAGGGGTTTTAAACGGAAAACAAATATGTGAGGATCAAAAATACATATGTAAAACTTTTTTCTGTATTTGGATTTTATTTACATGTATATGAAACGGAACACATTTGTGTGTGCATTGAAAAACACAAGTGTGGATTCGGAAATACAAGTGTGAATCCTTTTGCGGATCATGAAATACAAGTGTGAATCCTTCTGTGTGCATGTGTGTATTATGAGACTGTTCTGAGCCCATACCGGGCCACCTCTCCCCTTTCTGCCCTTCAGTGCCTCTTTCTGCCTTCAAAGCCCCTTCTGCGTTTCAAGCCCCAAATGACAGACAAGGCCGTCAGGTTTTCTGCAAGGACTCGCACCCGAGGTCTGTGTGCCCCAGGCGCGGCGGCCATCCCAAGATCCCTGCCCTGCTTCAGAAACCTCCTGGCGGGAAAACCTTCTGAACATTCACCCCTCCACTCCAATTAACATAACACACTTAGCAGCCGTCCTATCTACTCACCCAGATCCCGTGTTCGTTGACTATCTCCTCTCAGGGCTTTCCCAAGGCTTCAGGGTAGGGGTCCTCTCTTCCCCCACAGTGACCTTCGTTGCAAAAAAACCTGCAGTCTGCCCTCAAAGAACCCGCAGTTGTTTCTCAGCTCATAGAGAAAGAACTCAGCAAAGGGTATATCATCGGTCCTTTTCACTCATCTCCATTCTCAGTGTTTCGCACCAGCCCAATAGGAGTAGCCACTCGCAAATACTCAGAGAAAAAAAGGCTCATTTATGATCTGTCTGCACCACGCTCAGGCCCCTTTTCCAGCGTCAATAGCCTCATCCCATCAGAGCCATTCTCCCTTCACTACGCCTCGGTCGACAACGCTATTAAGTTAATTAAATTCGCCGGCCAAGGAGCCTGGCTCTCCAAAGCAGACATCACCGATGCCTTCAAAATCATTCCCATTCATCCGTCCCAGTGGAACATGTTCGGCATCAGGTGGGAGTCCAAGCTCTACTTCGCCGTCCGCCTCACTTTCGGGTGCAGAAGTAGCCCATGCATCTTCAATTCCTTCTCCGAGGCTCTTTGTTGGATCCTGCTGAACGTTGTCAGAATCCCATCCGTTCTTCACCTGCTGGATGATTTTCTCCTCATAGATCCCCCATGGGACAACTCAGGCGCTTCCCTGCTTAAACTGAAACACTGTTTCCAAGAGCTAGGCGTCCCCCTATCCACGGAGAAAACCATAGGCCCCGACACAAGTTTGGAGTTTCTGGGCATCACTCTCAACTCCATAGAGATGAAAGCGTCTCTCCCTTATGACAAACTGCAGCGCATACGCGACATCACGAAGTCCTACTGTGCGCAACACATCATCACTAAACAGCAGCTGCTCTCCCTCCTCGGGCACCTCAATTTCGCCATGCGCGGCATCCCACAGGGACGCTCATTCATCTCCCGCCTCCTGGACGCAGCATCAGCTGTAAAAAACCTTCACGATCATGTTCCCTTAGATGAAGGATGCCGCTCAGACCTACGCTTCTGGTCCCTCCTGCTCGACCAATGGAACGGTGTCACTTTCTTCTACAATGACATAGTGCACTCCTCAGACTCAATGAGGCTCTTCACGGATGCCGCCCCATCCGCTGGTTTTGGGGGTTTCTTTCAGGGAGAGTGGTTCGCAGGTCCCTGGCCCCTCTCCTTCCCTAATCATGCCACATCCTCTGCCCTGCACGAGATCTACCCAATTGCAGTAGCTTGCTATGTGTGGGGCCACCTCTGGCTCCGGAAACGCATTTCAGTGTTATGCGATAACCAAGCAGTGGTCGGGATCATTAATAAAGCGCGCTCTCCCTGCCCGGACATTATGCCATTCATGAGAAGCATCACGTGGTCCTCCATCACCCACAACTTCATTATCTCAGCCCGTCATGTTCCCGGCCACCTCAACGTAATCGCTGACTCCCTCTCTCGCTTTCACTTTCAGACATTCCGGAACCTCTGCCCAGAAGCCAGGCTGCAACCTTCCCCCTCTTCATCTCCTTTCCCTCTTCTAAACACAAGCCCCTTAGTTAGGCACCTCGAGTCCGCCAGGTTTCTCATGAGGAAGGGCTTAGCCGCTTCCACTCTCAAAACGTATGATTTCGCCTGGAGAACCTTCGCCATGTTTTGCTTTTCGTTATGCATCCCCCTCAAACCCGTTCTCATCCACACTGTGTGCGCCTTCATGAGCTACTGCTTCACCGACCGTCACCTTAAACCCCAATACATTCGGGGTTTGGTAGCCGGGGTTCAGTTCAACGTCCGATGCTATGATCCCAGTTTTCCTAGTTTATTTTCTAACCAGGCAGTTAAGCTCATTCTCAAAGGACTTACTAAAGCTTCCCCTCCTGTCTCAGACCGCAGATTACCTATTACCCTCTCCATTCTGCGCCTTATGCTCTCCAAACTCAGAGAAGGAATATTTTCTCCTTATATAGACGCACTACTCGATGCTCTATTTCTTTTAGCGTTTTACGCTTTCCTTAGGCCCGGCGAATTCTCCACAGCTTCCCTCTCGTTCGACCCCCATCGAGACATCTGTTTTTCCGATCTGTCTTTTTATGCGAGTCACTACAGCCTAAGCCTTAAGCACTCCAAGTGCGGAGGCGCTTGCTCCGTCATTGCGGCTCGCATCGATTCCCCGTTTTGCCCCCACAAATCTATGATCAATTACCTGCGCTTCAGATCTTCCTCTAGTCCCCTCTCACCATTATTTCTCACTTCAGGGAATCTTCCCCTGTCACAATCTCGGTTCAAATACTACTTAAAGCAAGTAGTCATCAAATGTGGATTATCACCCCAATTATATTCGGGGCACTCTTTTAGAATAGGCGCAGCTACTTCTGCGGCTAATCAAGGCATATCATCCTCATCCCTGCAACAACTCGGGCGGTGGTCCTCCGCTGCCTTCACCTCCTACATCCGCCCCGACATCAGTTCTGTTCTGGCAATCCAGAAATCTCTCAAGCCTTAACTCGGGTAAATATGCATATAACTGGGGGTGGTGCTTTAATAACATATCGGCATAACTCATCATGTCCTGTCCGTACATTATCACGCGTGACATTCCATGTCTTATTACCCATGCTAACAAACATGCGTATTTCATTTCAATCCTATATACTCATCATTGTCTCATTCTAATGCTAAAACCCATGTAATTCATGCATTCGACCGGAAGGGTCTGGGCTTGTGTCAAATCAGGATATGATCATCCATGCATCATAGTACGCCCAAACCTTCCCATGTTTAAACTCCCGTGCATTTCATGCACTCATAGCCGATTCATATTCACGTCACTTTCCCTCGCTAAATCCTCATGTGCATGTCATGCATTTTAAGCCCGATATATATTCCAAGCCTCTTTCCCCTGCTAAAAACCCCATGTGCATTCCATGCACTTAAGCCCGATATTTATTCCAAGTCTCTTTCCCCTGCTAAAACCCCATGTGCATTTCATGCATCTCTGCCATATATACATTCATGTGTCTCTCCATGATTTATCTCGACCATGAACCTGGCTCGGTGTCGAGCCAGGTTCTAATTCATGCATTATCGTTCGGCTCTAACGAGCTGCAGGTCCGTTCCCTTAGAAATATACTCCACTCTTAATTATGCTATTCAATTAATCTCTCCTTCCCTCCCCCCGTTAACTCTCATCACATCCCTTAGATTCCTGCATCCAGCCCTCATGGTAAGAAACCCGTACATTTCATTCCATAATATCTTTTCGTTTTTGGGGGGTTTCATCGGATCGGTTCTACCTTCCCGAATGATACTTCCTGCACAACGGGGCCTAATCGCCAAAAATTAACATTGCATTCATTTGTGCATCTGCGCAATAAATATGTATTATTACATCAAAACCGTCTCTCCTGATTGAAATGAAGCTCAGCGCAAGTTCAACCAGGAAGACCGTCTTTACTCATTCACGTATCTCTATTTCCATGTTACTACTCTCTCTCTCCTCTCAATAAGTGACCGGGGGCGTCACTCTTCAGTTTAACCAATCACTTCGCTCTATTCCCAAGAGCCTATCATAGCGTTCTGTCAAACCTTTTAAGTCTGCTCTTCCCCCTCTGACAGCTGTCATTTCAGGTGACTCTACGCAACCCTCCTCCACCCCTTTTCACCTCCGGTCCCTCTGAATCCAGGGTCAAGCTAAACCACTCCTCTTCAGACCGACCCAACTATCCATTCACCACCACCAGTGTCTAGACCCCAGGGGGGTTTCATCGGATCGGTTCTACCTTCCCGAATGATACTTCCTGCACAACGGGGCCTAATCGCCAAAAATTAACATTGCATTCATTTGTGCATCTACGCAATAAATATGTATTATTACATCAAAACCGTCTCTCCTGATTGAAATGCTAGTAGCAGCTTATTGCCCGAAGCCATCACCTCAAGCAGAGACAAGAAGCTACCGATGATAATCGAACTTATTTCCATCTCCTTACCTGCTGATTTGTTTTATTTTCAAACTTTTAATCTTCAAACCAAACCAAGGTCGAGCCCACTGACCTGACCTCAACTAATATATCTGATTTCTTGGCACAACCAACTTCATACAACTTTATTGACATATACAGTACTCCTTGAAGACATGAAAACACACTTTGAAGTTGTTTCCTTTGAGAAATCCTTTCTTCTGATACCGTATCTCTTGGCTTTTCTCTGACTGTCGCAGGTTCTGAAGATAAACCTCCTGAAGCCTCTGTGTCTCCCCCTGCTGCCTCTAATCATGCCAGCCAATCACAGACTCATGAGGTAATGGACAAAAAGGAGGAGCCTATAGGAGACCGCTGGGATGAAGAGGAGGATTGGGGAAGTTTGGAGGTAAGATTTCAACACTTTTGACTCAAAGATAAATTAGAAATTAATATTTAAAAACATTTGTATGTGAGATTTTTGTTTTGTATTATTTGTGGTTGTAATTCAAACCTCATCTATTGTTGGCTCTGTCTTATAGGATCCAGAGAAGGCTCACACGGAGCCAGATGACTGGAACACTGACTGGTCAGGGACGACGGCGTCCAAAAAGAAAGCCAGTGACAAAGGAGTATGAGCCCTTTCATTTGGATCCTTTACACAAACCATTTTGATAGTAATAGCTAATGACACTGGTATTAGTATTTCCTATATTATTTTCTTTATACTGGTCTTAAATGGTTTAACAAGATTTATTTACTTTATACCAATAAGTCGTTAATGTTTTAGATCAAACGTGTCTTCTGTGGGGAAAATAAAACAAAAGAATGATGCCACACACTTGATGTATGGTTGCTAATACCATTTTCACAAAAAACTAAGGAATTGTTCCAAACAAGTGATCGTTAGTGTGCAGGATGTTTTGTGTTCTTTCACTGTCACGGTTTATATATGAGGCACCTACCTGTAAGATGTTATGGAGTTCAAGAACTCTGTAGTCCGTGTTTGCTGTGTAGATAAAATGTCGGCGTATATTTATATTACTTCAATGCGTCTTCATTTCACTCTTCAATCTTCCCAATGTGTAGGTGGGCCGGTCGTCGTCGTCCGTGGCGGTGAAGAAGCAGAGCGCTGACTGGAGCAGCTCGGGCTGGGATGCAGACGACAGCTTGTCCAATGAGAAGGAAGGGCCGGGGCAGAGCTCTGCAGGGGAGGAGGGCTGGGGCAACGACTGGGGGGAGGAGGACACGGACACCACCTTGGCCAATACCACGCTCCCCGAGGCCGAAGGGGTGCGGTTAGCCAGCGAGTACAACTGGGACAGCGGCAGCTCGGGCCCCGTGGGAGCCAATCAGAACGATCTGTTCACCAGCGTGTCCCAGAGAAACACAGCCGGCACTCCCATGGTGAGGAGGGCGGTGTGCAAAATCAGTCAGTCAACTTTATTGTCAATCTTTCACTTTGTGTATACAGACAGAGAGATCGAAAAATACTGTTTTAGGTCTGCAAATTCAGCCTCATGTTGTTGATATGCAAAAGAAAGTGTGACAAAATGTACAGCAGGGGGCAGCCCGCTTAATTTCTTCAGTTGAGTAATTTTTTATGCTTATTTTCTTGAAAAAGCATCTGTTAAATATTAGATGTTTGAAAGTGATGCTTTTGTATGATTTATGAGGAGAAACAGTTTTTACAGATCTGTTGATATCACCAATACATTGTATCTGGGTAAACGGCCCTAATATATATATATATATATATATATATATATATATATATATATATAACTGTAAACTTTATAGAGAGGCGAAGTCCCGCCCATCTACTTCCGACCCATGGGACCTTATTTCGGAAAAAATATGTATTGAAGTCAATGGGGAGAGAAAGATTATCTTTCGATCCCGTTTGAATTGTGCCACAAATTACACATATGATGTTTGTCAATCTTAACAAATAATTTCCATGTCAAAAAAGTCACAGTTTGTCGTAAAACTGTTGAAATATAAGACTATGAAAAATACGCAACTAGAAAGACTACAAATCCCAGAATCCCGGTCCCGCATGCTGGCTCTTACGGAACCGACTAACTCCCCTTGTGTGTATGTACAGCTCTCAACATGCCCAGACTTGTAGTGATTTTCACCTCTTTTAATACTTTTCGCCTCATTCTGAAAGAAAGAAGTGAAATGTGCCAACGTGACGGCCGTCTTGGTGTGTGGTGCGAGACGGGAGATGTAGGTCATTGAGCGGTTCACACAAAAAAAAGTGTTACTTCACAGTTTTACGACACATTTTAATTTTTTTGACTTGCGAAATTATCTTTTAAATTGACAAACATCATATGTGTAATTCGTGGCTCAATTCAAACGGGATCGAAAGATAATCTTTCTCTCCCCATTGACTTCAATACATACTTTTTCCGAAATATGGTCCCATGGAGCTCAACCGGAAGAGGAGGGACTTCACCTCTCTATGGAGACAACAGAAGGTGGGAATAATAAACGTGTTGTCTTTTAAATGGTGAAACAATACAGCACGGTCGGGATAAGAAGTACATCTGTAGGTCAAGAAAACATGAAGATGAAATGGAAATTCAGGAATACCATGAGTACAACATTTCAGTTCAGTGATGTGTGTGTGTGTTCTCTCCCTGTCAGACTGGAGAGGGCTTGGCTGCAGAGGCCGCAGGAGAATGGGGAGCTGAGGAGAGCTGGGAGTCGGTGGATGGGAACCAGGGTAAGCCTCTCATCTGAAATGCTGAATAAAGGCACAGCAAGGGCTTACTGCCATATTTTCATAGTCATAGAAAAAAATGTGTTTGGTCATGGTTTTTGTTGAACAAAATAAATCTGATTCCCACTATCGCTGAAGTGTCCTTGTTAGACAACTATTAACTAACCTACTTTGCATTGAACTGTCTGTCTTCATTGTGAACCAGGTCTCAGCAAGGCCGAGCTGTCCAAGAAGAAACGGGAGGAGAGGAGGAAGGAGCTGGAGGTGAAACGGGCGGAGCGCAAAGCTGCTAAAGGTCCTCTCAAACTGGGCGCACGCAAGCTAGACTGACCGGGCTGCACAGAGAGGTTTGAGGGCGGGATGGAGAGGAGGGAACAGGGACCAGATCGACTGGATGCCTGACATTCCACAAACAAAGGACCGGAGAGGAGTGTGAGCCGCCAGAGGACATGCGCTTTAGGATTCTCTGTCTTCATTCAGGAACTTACTGATGAGTGAAGAAGCAACAATCCAGCGCTTCATAAATGCTTTATTGTGGAAGACCGAGCTTAAAAACACAGAGACAGAAAAGTGTAAAAGCGGCACCGAGCAGCACTCCTTGCAGTCATTCATAAAAAGAGTCCCCTATGTGTTTTCCCTTTTTCTTTTAAATACATAAATCATAAAGTTGAAGTTGTAAAGTAAATGTATATACATGGTGCATCTGGTCTTATAATGACTTGAGGAAATGGCACTTTTTTTTTTTAATAACTGCGAAATATATATATAACAGAATCAAACCTGTATTATTATGCTGAATGTTTTTCAGTGTACACACACATACAGTGTATATGAATGTTTTAGTTCAGCTGTCACTAACTAACTCAGATGTAAGGCTTAAAATCAATCCCTGCATGCATTTGTGTATTTGTGTGTCCTAACAAAATGTGTCATGGCACAGAGTTACAAATATGTTCATTTAACTTTGCACATTCAACACTGTATTTAACTGAAGTGTCCTGACAGGAGACACATTTGACTGGTTAAGATCTGTAAAGGTGTCACAGGCACTGCAGACACATGATGCAAATAGCTAGGTAAATTGATGCTGGTGAATTGGTTTTAAAGTGAAATCAATGAACGTGTTTACATGCCTTTTCCTATGTGTCCTCGTAGTGCACTGGTGGAGGTTTTCTTAAATAAGTTTTATTTTGAAATGTTTTGAAAGAATCTGTATAATCCTGAATTTAAGATCTTCTAAAACATGAAGGCATCATTTGAGGAAGTAAGATTTACCTACCAATCATTGTTGACAGTATTTGGTGTGGTAATGGTAAAGGGGTTTCCTAAAAGTTCCCTTATACTCTTTTATTTGTGCCTTTTTCTTTTTAAACCAGATCTGCTCTGTAGGATCCCATCTGAAAACGGAAGATTTGAATAGAACATTTCCACCTGAAATGTCTTCCCATTGACAGATTCTGTGTTTTTATCAAACCATTCCCCCATATGTAATCTCTGTGTTGGAAATGGTATGTGAAGGTTTCACTGCTAAGTACCAGACATGATGCCGAAAAGACACACTCATCATTGGAGCTAATATGTAACGAATATGTGATTAGTTCAGGAAGGCTGAGAAGTGTGAATGCAACATTTACTGAGAATCTTGTAGCATGTGAGCTGTTCTTAAAATAAATATGAGTAAAATGAATGTATGTTTCTTATTTAAATTAAAACGACAGTTAGTCTTTTAGGACATGAAGGGAATTAGTCTCTGTGATTCCTGCCTCCACTACAATATATTCAACAGAGCTCAATGTGGGTTATTTATTCAGTAGAAAATATAACAGACTTATGCTGAGTATCCATTCCCCTCCAATGCTTTGTGATGTTTACTTTAAGCTGTAAGCACCACAAAATACAAGTTATTGGTTTGTGTTGAGGTGCAGACAGGCAACTCAGAAACGGTTTTCTTAATGCCTGGACTAATAAAACTAAAAAACTATATATAAGGATATTAACCATAGAGGTAAATAAGGGTAAACACTCCTACAACGCGATAATAAAAGATAACTTGGCCGTGTGTTAAAATATACTACTCTAACATTGTTACCAAAACATGTGTTTTCATTGTGAGTAGCTGTTGCTATATTTATATATTTTCTTAAACCAATACAGACTTTTCCTCCTGCAGTATTTGGACACGCATCCATGTGCTCAATAATGCCACAACCAGAAATATTGTGAGGCGAGGAAACAGTGCATTAATGCTGTAACACTTAAAGATCCCGTCAAGATTCACATCAAATATTTTCACCATCCAGAGGAAACATTTGGGTGCTAATGGACAGGAGATTCCTGGGATGAAGCACGTGGAAATGTTATGTTAACATATTTAAATAGAAACAGCAACAGCTCACAGTCTACATGGGTAATATTAAAGCGATTTAAAACTTTAAAACTTTCCAGGAACTACAACCCTCTGTGAGGAGGTGACAACTTCCAGAATCCCACAAATGATTCTTTATTCAAAACGATTACAAACAATGTAATGTCAGAGGAAGACAATGTGCTATGAATTCCCAGTTAACTTGTGAACTGATTTCATAACAAAACTTCAAATGTGTAGAATTAATTGAGTCGACACGTCTCCTCTCGGACAGGACCCAAAGTTCATCAAAGTGTTTTTACACTGAACAGAAGGCCGTAGTGACTGTGACATTACATGGCTCTTGCATCAAATGTAATTACAATTGAGTTAGTGTTAATTGATTGTGTAAAATAGTATTTTTCTAAGTTTGACTCAAGTATATTATATCTTCATTAGCAACTAACAAATATCAATGTTTTGTTTTTAATCAATAGAAAAATACCTCCCTAACCTCTCACATCCTTCACAATCCGAAACATATACATTCAACTTCAAAATCTTCATTTTATTTTACAACATGTTAACATATTCTGTATTGGCAGCTTCATTACTCAAATTAGTATTTGTTGTGCTCATGTATGCTATACATGTTTAAAATCTCAGAAAAATACAAGGCTTTGATCACATCCAAAAACCTTTGCATTGTTAGTCAAAGCAGGGAAGGCATGCAGGACACATGGAGGTAAAGATGACTATGCAGGATAGAAATCAACCAGGTTTCTGGGTTATTAACAATATGTCAATTAGTCAGTGTTTCCTGTGAGTGAGCATGATAGGAAGCAGGCTTTGCAGGTGATCTTCTCATGTGTCCCTGAAGAGGCGCCCCGGGACTTCTATCACTTTTCGTTCTTGTTTTCCTTCTTGCCGCCTCCGAAAAAAGCTCCTGCCAGAGCCACGAGACCAAGACCCAGAAACGCAGCCGCACCGGCCACCATGACGGTTTGTCCTGCCTTACGCACCTGCACAGGGAAACAACAGACACATGTTAGTTAGTCATTTATACATTTAGTTTAACTTTTAAAAATATATTTAAATGAAAAGGTCAATGGTTGACCTTTAGATTTGAAATATGGTATGTTGACTGCCTGTTAATGGTCTGTCTTTCAGGAAAAGTAGGTTTTGTTGCATTTATTACTATATTACTTCTGCAGCTTATGATTTATTTGAATATTTTTGTTGAACATGTTTGGTTTACAATGGTAATTATTTTTACTCCAGCCCCCCCCTTAAAAAAAAGAGTCTAAAACCGACCTGCCGGGACTCTGCTTTTCCGTAGCGCAGCTCGGTGGCAAAGTGCTCACAGTTCCCTCTGAAGACGCAGTACGGCAGCTCTTCACCGACCATCGCACAGGCGACCCTCACAATGACCTCTGCCGGGAGGGGCTCGTACTCCTCATCCAGGCTGTTGTTGATTTTCCACTCGTTGGTTTCCACCACATCCCACAGCTCCTCTTTCTTCACCAAGGCCTTCTCATAGAGAACAGACATGATACTGCTGGCACCGGCCCCCGCAACCTCAGCTATGAACAAACAAAGAAAAATACAGAAAAAGAGAGAGGAACAGATGTGATTGTGTGGGCACAGTTAATACTGCAAGATACTTTGATTTTAGGAATTATAAACAACTTCAAACAGATAATTATCTTCTTTTTTATGCTGGTCTAAAAAATGTAATGTGTCAGTACATTAGGCTGTCGTGTGTGTGTATGTGTGTGTGTGTGTGTGTGTGTGTGTGTGTGTGTGTGTGTGTGTGTGTGTGTGTGTGTGTGTGTGTGTGTGGTGTGTGTGTGTGTGTGTGTGTGTGTGTGACTCACAGGGTGGTGCCAAGTGGACAATGAAGCCATCGCCCACATACACAGCCCAGTGCTGATAGGTTCCCCTGTGGATCTCGATCAAATCCCCGACCTCTGGTTTTACATCATACTTGGATTAAGACAGACAGAAAAAATGTTTGACTTTGCAACAGACTTTGTTTGGCAACAACTGCGGTTCATTGTGAAATGACAGGACCCTCTGTGTTAAACTAAGATAAGATAAGTATACTATAACACGATAATAATGACACATCCTTGCATAAAAGAACACAAAACACATTTAAAAAAACCGACAATGGTTTAATTTTATTTATTTGTATTAAGTGATTATTTCCTTACCAGTGTCGGCGCCATGTCAGCGTTTATTTCACCTGGTTTCCACTCCTTTGTGTTCTTTGGTGACTTGCAGCACCTGTAGGACAAATTATTCTATAGTCCAAATAGTAGCATACAACATTAGATATAGAAAAGTAAAACCATTTACTGCTTCATTCTCCCCTTAGAGAAAATGTACCTCTGTTTTCTGAGTTACAAATGTTGTTTGTTAGCTCAAAAGGGAAATTGTTCTATGCATAGAGCCAGTGGTGGAAGAAGTACTCAGATATTTTACTTATGTAAAACTGTAAAAATACTCTGTTACAGGTCCTTCATTCATAATCTTACTTTGGTCAAATTACAAAAGTATTGCCATCAAAAAGCACTTACATTTCCAAAAGTAAAAGTACTTATTGTGCGTAATGTCCCATTTAAGAATAATATATATGAAATTATCACAACATTGTAAGAGTGGAGCTACTTTTGATCACTCGATATACAACTGCTGGCTATTTTACCTATAACTCTATAGGATAGTTCTTAGTTTATTTCTTAGTTTATTTATATTTTGTATTTGCGAATAATCCTAATCTGTTAAGTAACTATAACACATTTTGTCAAATTAATCTAGCAGGGTAAAAAGTACAATATTGGTTTCCAAATTGTAGTGGAGTAGAAGTTCAAAGTAGCATAACATAGGAATACTTACGTAAAGTATCCCAAAATCGTACTTAAGTACAATACTTGAGTAAATGTAATATTAATAATGCACTCACATTTAACATTTTGATGAATTTAATGCTGCATAATATAATATAATATATCAATAGATAATGTGTTCAATTAAATATACATTTATATTCACACCTGACCAAGCTAAAACTACAGTCAAAAACAAAAGTCTTATGGTAAAATCCTATCTTTGTGAAGGTTAGAATTTAAAAAAATAGGAAGCTTTTTAAAGAGGCATCTTCTTTTTCAGTTGTTCATCATTTTGTAAATTGGAGGCTGTAGTTTGAGATGCTGTTGAATGTATCAGAATGAGAAACTGGTTTATTGCCAGGTAGGTTTACACATACCAGGAATTGATATCCTTGGTGTTTGTGGTACATAAATACAGCTAATGACACTGAGTCGTTGTGGTTGTGTAGCCCACACCCAGTGACACTACTGTACGTCATTCACTACAACAGCACCATACACTACAGCCTCCAAAACGATTATAATGTTAAATCAACACATCTATTAAGGTTAATATAACATTCATAAAAATGATTGAGGAACTGTTGTTTAATACTGTCATAGTTTTAACTTTATAATAAACCGACGAGCTTATATGGACCATTTTTTTTTGCCATGAGGGAAACGTGTGTGTTCCCCCCCGTCTTTTTAGATGCTAACGCTTGAACAAAAATCATTTAAATGTCACTGTAATAAGAGGAATAAATAGAGGATAAAAGAGGGGGTCATTCGGTTTCGTTTTTACATTTTGGCAAACCAAAATAAATTGCGAGGCAGCCGACAGCTAGCTTGGTCCATGTTTACATCATACAAACCACACTGTACAGACATCAGCTTTCAAACACGCAGCATCACGTGAAGTGTACTGTCATCACATGACAGTACACTTTGTGAATATTATTTGACTGAAAGACAGTGCTCTTACCTTTAAATGTAAGCCTGGTTTTATGTCAGAGGCGACGTCCGAACCATACCGACACTGAAAGCAGAGCTCAGCTGTTAGAAGATCAGCTGGTTGGTGCTGGGAGTTTACGACCTTCAAAATAAAAGCTGCTAGCTTTAAAGAAAAACAACAACAAAACAAGCAGTTGCCACTAGCCTACATACATTTGTATAATTGGAGAACGTTTATTTACCGTTGCCAGTACCAGAGGTGGGAAGTAATTAAGTATATTTAAGTATAAGTACAATTTCAAGATCGGTTACCCGATGAAAACAATTCATTTTGAGTTGCTCTTGTCCTAAATACATTTAATAAGCGAATTGATTAAAGGTAGGGTACATTTGAGAAACCGGTCGTGCTTTTTACAGTATTACAGCTTCCACAGATGACATTTATTTATGGATTTTTGTCAAAGCACTTAAGATAGATATTCATTGCTATCGGGATGTTAAGAGCATTCCATGGAA